AGAATCTTAACAAACTGAATCCTAGATTTAAATTGTGGTTGCGATCACTAGGTTTATCACGAGTACGGACATAGAGAGCATTATTATAGATATTGTAGTCATATAATAATGGTTGCGGAGGACATCTTTATAACAGACGCTGTCGTAGTCGTGAATCGCTATTTAAATTGCTATTTTCGTGATGATGTTGAAATCCTTGGATTCAGGCTGCTACTTGAACCCTCTGTGGGATCCTGGAATCCAATGTTCTCGACGTCTCCAACGGTCTTGAACAACCGCCTTTTATTTACCTCTGTCACTACGTAGCGGTGCAGCAACTGGCTACGTATGTCGACGAGTGAACGGATCCTTGTTAGCTTTCGCTGGTCATTTAAGTTTGAAGATCTCAGTGAATGAAGTTGCGGGTCGCATTGTTTGTAGTTGTAAGAACTTGTACTCTCTGATGGAAAAAATCTTGTTGATTTCAGGGTCTCCAGGATACCGGGATGCTTGCCTCGTCGGAGACTCGAATCAAACTCGTCTTCGTAGCTCATGCTAGAGTATTGGACCGAGTTCATGGAGCAACTTGAGCTTGCAACATCATTAATGCTGGATACACCGCAACCAGATGTTACGTTTTTCCCATGTCGAGTTCGTGTTTCGTATGACGAAAAGAATCCCGGGAGGGAGATCTGAGACGAAGAACAGGATGATGCAGCGTAGAACGGATGGCGGATTTCGTTACTATCATCATTGTGGTCGTCATCGTTATCCTCGTCTTTGTGTTTGAAGGTGTGCTGATGATGGACTTGAGAGGATCCCCAGTCCTTCCAAGTTGGGATAATGGAAGAGATCTCCTCATCTATCATATCAGCAATCTCCAGTGGCTCCCAGTCGTTGATCTACAATTCTTTCACCATCTCCAAGGCAACGTCGATTGCCGAGTCGTTTACAATGTCGAACGGAAAGTAGATGTTCCGAGCATGACCTATAACACCGGAAAATCCATTATATTCGCAGGCTGTTAACCGAAATCGAACCTAGTGAAAGGGATCTGGATTAGTCCAATTTATACCTTCCTTCACTGTAATCTGTACTTTGAGAAAAATTGTGTCACCTGCAGGGTCCATTGTGCCAGTTATCGACATATTTGTAGTCCTTATCGGGTGAGCCAGCATTGCAGGAACTAGCTCTGCAACCGATGGCATCAAATTCCCATTGCCAGAGGCTAAAAACGGATCTAGCAAGAGGTCGCAAGCAGACAATCTCTTCGAAACGTGGTCGAGACACTTCCCGATGAACCTCATAGCTTCCTCATCTTGGATACTGTATAATGCCTCTGGCAACTTTCCCTGGAGAGTTAAGAAAATGAAATAGATTAGTTTGATGGTTAGCGTTACCGAAATTAACGAACCGAAAGTAACTCACCGAAGTCACTTTCATGTAGATTTGAGCCGGATTCGAGCACTCGCTATACGGATACTCCGAAGTAATCATTTCTAATACGCACATGCCAAAGGAGTATACATCTACAAGCTCATTGTAATCCTCCTCGTACAGATCCGGTGCCATGAACTCCGGTGTACCTAGCATGGTATACAAATGTGCTGACATTTAGCATACAGAGAGGTATACATATATATATGGACAGAGTGGCCCTATTCTATGAAATTTGAGTGGATGCTGCAAATTGAGAGCATACCTATAACACTATGAGCATGTCGTGAGCCGCAAAGAATTGCGGCCAATCCGAGATCGCCGATCGTAACTTGTCCAAGGTGACCATTGACAAAGATGTTATCACATTTGAGATCTCTATGAATCACTGGAGGATCATGACCATGGAGATAAACCAGACCGCCTAGGATTTGGCGAGACCAGTTCTTAACTGCTTGAATATCGACACACTGGTGCCTCTGCCTGTACCTGTATGCATAGTTGCATATTAAAAATCGGCATTACAAATAACGCTTCGTAAATGTTTGATTGACGGTTAAAGCGGTTTACTCTCGAAGGGTGCCGGAGGTGAACATCTCGGTCACAAAGTTAAAAATTCTTCGGTCGATATCGATCCAGGACGTGTAGAATTGCATGATGGAACCGTGGTTGAGGTTCTTGAGGAGGTGGATCTCCGAATAGAGCCGCTGCAATTTGTCCGGCGAATGGAAGATATCGGCGAGCTTAACTTGATTCCATGCCACCTCCATTCCAAGGACCTCATCAAATGCTTTATACACTGTCTTCATTGTTCCTTTACCCAGAATCTCTCTGAACTGCGTACAGCAACAGATTCAGCCATTTTCTAGGGAAAATTAATGGAGCCAATACTTATACATACTACAGAAATCTGAGAGATTAACATAAAAAACTATTCTCTGCAAATTTTCTGGGGAAAATGAAAAGGAAACGTACACGTCCATATCGACCCGAAGGATCGGTCTCAACGTATCCAAGCTGAGATTGAACGCCAACAACACATCCCCCAATACGTGTTTTAAACGTTGTCATGAGCAAAAACAGCAGAGACCCTTAAAAGTTGTAGGGCTTTGTGTAATAACTATATCTTTCAAAACACTAAATTAACGATTTACCTACGAGTATATACTTAATTCAAAGATCAAGAATAGAAGGTCCAGGTGTTTATACGATCCGAGGCTTTCCATCGTGATTTTCATACGAAAAAACACCAAACAACAACCAAAAGAGTCTCGAGTAATCGACGCTGAGAATAATCCAAGCCATTTCCACAACTTCGCTCGAGAAATCGTAGTAATTCCTGGAAACCATTTAGCTTAGTTTCAGAAAAACAAAGATCTCTTTTTGCTAATCGAAACGAAATGAAATCTGGGTTGGTCTCTGTTTCCTGTGTGGAGCAGAATCAAGAGTCAATTTCCGGGTTGAGATCGGGAGCTTTGGCAAGAGAGTAGAGTTCTAGACTTGAAGAACCTATGGCTACGCTTCGACAGCACCATTTGCGGAGATATCGAAAGCAATCTCAATGGATAAACTTTGGATTCAGATGTTCTTTTTTATACTGTTGGAGATAGATTCAAAGAGGTTTGCTTTCTGGGGTTGTAAATCAACACATGAAACTGTGTCAATCTATGGAAAGATGGGATTTTGAAGGTGCCCTTTCCTGGCAATTAACACAAAGAATTGACAATCTCCAATAAACAATCAATCAGACCAAATGAATTGATTTGAGAGGATAGAATTAAATGTCAAAAATCAGGGTTCTATTAATTAACTATGGCTGGCAGCTGGGTGAGTGAGATAAGCAGTGTTATTCAATACGATAGAGATAATGGTAAATAAACAATACTACATAAATTTACATAATTTTTTTAAATTAAAAATAAATTAGGGACGTAAATATAAATCTAATATATTAACGGTGCACGAACTAAATTACCTTAGTAATTAAGAGGATTGTTGTTGTTCTTAGAGGTCGTACGTTCGAGCTTCAACGACTGCAAGCGTGATTAAACGTTCACCATCAAATGATTAAGAGTACTTAGAACATATATTATTTTGTAATCACCTTAACTTAATAAAAAAAATAATATATTGATGGTAAATTTAGAGGGTATAAACTCGATTCAATTCTATTTGAACACAAGTTTTTGGGTAAACTACGTATTTAGTACTTCAACTATATTTTTTGGTCAGTTTTAATACCTAAACTTTTATTTTTTTTTTCAAAATCATATCTAATGTTTACTTTTTATTTCATTTTAGTACACGTCGTTAAAAACTTAACGCATTTAGTACCTAAACTATCAGTTTTGGTTTGTTTTAGTACCTAAACTTTTAATTTTTTTCAAAACTTAACATTGAATTTTGAACGGGTACTAAAATGAAATAAAAATTAAACATTAGTTATGATTATGAAAAATGAAAGTATTAAAACAGATCAAAATTGATAGTTTAGATACTAAATGCATAATCTACCCTAATTATTTTCAAGAATATTTTTTTTCTTCATAATTTTACTTATAAGATTGATATTTTTTAATAATGTATCAAATGACCATAAATATAACATTTCCAATATAATACAATTAATTCTAATTTCTACTTATGATCGTATGTAAATCCCATAAAAAGAAATTGTGAAAACTAAGCGTTAATAGTGGGAGAGTGTAAGAAAAGATAACCTAATTTAAGACTAATGAAAGACACAATCGAAAATATTATAAAATTTATAACATTTTAGATTAGACGTAACATAAAATGTTAACTTTTTCTTAATATTTTTCGATTGAAAACCCTTTTTTGTAATATTTTCGATTAACAACTGAAAATATTATATTCTTTGTAACATTTTTAATTCAACTGAAAATGTTATAAAGATAACATTTTAGATTTCAATCAAATAAACCAAAGACGCCAAAAGAACTCAAAGCAAGCATTCAACTTGGAAATCTAAACTTAATTCCATAAAATTATTTAAAAATAATATTTAGTATATCCTATTGTGTATTTTGGATTATATAATAATAATTTGGAGGAATAAATGGGTGAATGAATCAAGCAACGTTTTTGAGTGAAGAGTTGACAAAGAGGAGAGGATGTGTTTGATTAAATAATAGTATTTGTAAGACTTTATGAAGCCCACCACCACCTTTTTCAAGGATTATTTAATTAACTAAAATCTAGTAAGTTCACGTGTAGGGGTTGACCAACACATATATATCAAATTATTCAATCGGCCCCCAGATTACCACCTGATCAGCCAGAGCTGAATTTAAAGGACAACCGGAGAAGAAACTACAAAAAGAGAGACCATTTTGCAGTAAGAGTTACATGAAGAATCAGCAGTTGACAATATCTGTGTGTCTATACTTTGTTTTCGCCAAAAAAACAAGTGGCTGAGATGTCAAAACCTGAGCAAAACAACAAGGGCATCATTCCATAATCCTATACATCAATAACTCACTGTAAAAAAAGTACATGAAATAGCTTTGGAATGGCTATCAAATAGCCACGTGCACACAAGCTGCCCCACTTTGTTACCATTTACTGTCTATAAATTAAGATCCATCCTTTTCTCTGTGCTGTTTTCAAATGGATAAAGGTGGGAAATCTTCTTCGTTTTTTATATTGGAATGACTGTAAAAGTATCCTGCTTGTGATAAGCGGAAAGAGAAAAATGTCAGAATACGGCATACCCTACTGCGTATAAATTTCCGATGAAATAATGAAGTCTCGAACCTGTCTTGATCCATGCTCGCAGTTGAGCTTAGTCTTTGATTTCCTAATTGTTGCCAACAAGAAGTCGAGTTTAGAGCATAAGGAGAACCTGGATTATGCTGCTGGCTACTTTCTGTAGAGGCTGGCACCAAGGGTAAGGCCCCAATTGACCCAAATTCTACAAGCCTATCTGGCTGATGCAATGAGTCGTTGGCTTTAGGGATAATACTTTTTCAGATCAAGACTGAGTTCAGAAGACCCGGATTTTCCAAAACCCTGATTCACAGTCTGTATTTGTGCCAGCTCAGGGCTCCATCTCTCTGGTGAATTTGGCTCTGGGGGTGTAACGGCGTGGCCATTGTTGTGAGATCTTGCTGGTGCTGGGTTCCTTCCCCATGGTGTCAAGGACCTATCCTTGTAAGACTTCTGCAAAATGATTTAAGCATGAAAAAACACATTGAGACAGCAAGGCTAAACCATAATTTAACAAGAAATAATGATAATAATAAAACCAACAACAAAATAACACCATGATGCTGCACGTTTGCCCCAGATTAAATATCATATTCTCATCACAAGTTTTAGAAATCCAATCCAAAGGATTAGAATGAGTATACCTGCTGGGATTGGGGAAGTATGTCCCTGTTCCTCGAGGCTTTGGCATATCTTCCATTCCAAAGCCAGAACCATGTAAAACTGGTGGGTTCATAGGGTAGTAGGCTTTTCGTGGGACAACACCGTTACCATTCATTGGGGAAATTCCATTTGGCCTAAATTGCACCGAATTGTGTACTACATGCCATGAGTTCTTGCTCTGAAACTGAGAAACCAAAGGTGAAGAAATTGGAGGAACAGATGCACTAAGGACACAATCATAGCAACACCGGCCATAACTCAAACTGCGCATGTTTGCAACAATATCCCCACAAAAATCAGACAATGAGCTCAAACCTTCCTGACTTCCAGCAATACTATAGGAAGCTAGATCACCAGAAAGTCCAGGATATAGATCCTCAGATGACCAAGCAGAATTTTTAGATCAATGGATGGTTTTTCCGTCCAACAGGGGACTGAACCCCTTGACTAGCAACCAAATGATTCATACTGTGATCACCAAGTACATTAGCACCCATATCCTCACTGCTTGCTGGAAGAATACCAGAACATTCATTCTTTACAATAAAAATGATATAGCTAATTAGCCACCCCCATAACCATGCCAGCTCTCCCAGTATAATAAAAATATAACTATAAACATAGAAAACTATAGAATAACAGACATCTTAAGTCCATATCATAGATTGGGCAACATTAGAAAATGAAATCGGGAAGGGGAAAGAAGTATTGTCATCTATTTAATGCACATGAAACACAGAGAGAGGGAGATGTCACTGCCAATAACTAGGGAAAGTAAACAGAAGCCTATTTATTGATGATGCTATATGGAATCCAGACATTAGGGAAATTATCAGGTAAGTTTTCCTACTTGACATGGTAAAGTTTCAAAGATCTTAGAAGAATATATTCAGCTCTAAAGTTTCTCAATCAATGCAAAGGATGCATCTTTTTGTCCTAAACACAAGAAAGGCACCAAAAGATCCAAATCCAAGAAACATAAGGACGTGTCTGCATCGGAACATTTCCAATACATACTGGCAGCCAAACAATGCAGATCCTCCTTCTTTCTATTTCCAGATGAACTAAGTTGTATGAAAGCAGCTTTCATTCACACCCAAATTTTAATGATGCAACCTACCTGCTCAAGAAAGCACAGGGTACATAGCCCTCCTAACTGATTGAATGAGATATCCACCACAATGTTCTGCACTAATCACTTTACAAGCTTAACCAGCCACCAGAGAGGCCAAATTTTAAGATGACCAACTACGTATGAGAAAAATGATTTCTGAATCCTAAATTGTTACAAAAAAATCATCTTAAATAACACTCATGAAGAGCGAGGATGTCATATAATGGAAGCATGCATAATATTCACTCACATCCACTATTCATTCTCATCAAATCTGGGAAGGCAAAAAACAAATGCAATAGAATACTTGCCATGTAAAAGAAGAAGACAACATATTTTCATAAGGCCAGTGATAATTTTTCGTACTCATTGCGAAGAAATTTCTTTACCAGAAAGAGGGATTAAGTTGATTGGATATTCTAGCTTACCCACACCTTGCTTCGTCAATATGTTGTTTGTGACTCCCAGAGTCAGGTCGTTAAAGTTCAGGGTTTTTTTTTGCTACTATTGTGGTCTGGTCACTGGTGCTTTCTATAATATTACAATGACCAAGGTTGGGCTGCTGATTGACTACACTCCCTTATACCTCTTTTATTTGTTTTTAAAGGAATATCTACTTTTCTAATTCTGTAGTAATTATTTTTGCCCTTTTGCAATACGAAAAAAGATTGAAATCCTTAATCCATCAAAACAGAAAAGCATAACAATCTCTCAATCCAATAGCAATATCGGAGAAAGTAAGGTTTAAACTGCATAAAAAACTGGCAAAGATGAGATCAAAAATTGTATAGTGCACTCAATTAGACCTTCCCTTTAGCTGTTCCATAACAGTTAAAAGTAAACCATGCTAGGGGGTGTATCTCCAATTAGTTAGTATAAAAAACAATAAAGAAAGAAAGAAAGGAGAAAAAGGAATGCAAGAACAACCCACAAAACAGTTGCTAACTTAGAGGCTTCAGCAAGATCAGTTAGCAAAGACAAAATTGTTTTTGTACCATAGTCCATATTTTGACGAATAAAACCAGCCCGATGAGCAGCAACAAAGAATCTTTTTTTGGAGGAAAATAATTACTTGAGGACAAAATCCACAAAATACAATAATTATAGTATAAATGGTTGTGAAAAATATCACAATGCACAAAAAAGACTGAACTCTAAGCTTAGAAACTAAAAATAGTATCAAAATATCAAAGACTAATGAACTTTATAAAAGTTTATGGTTGCACATGTCCATTATGTACTTACTATGGGAGCTGTTTTTCCTTTATTTACAGGATTTCACTATTAGGTGTGTAAAATCTTTGGTTAGAGAATGGAAATCACGAGTTATTTTGCTTTTCCTTAAATAACATCCATCAAAATGAAGAAGATAAAAATGTTAATGCATCAAAGACATTTCCTTCTCAGTTTTCGAGCAATAATGCAGCTAAAATAAATGCTCAAGACGTGGAAACACAATGTGATGCAGGGGGATCCGAGACAGATGATGCTGAGCTGTCAGATTGCACATTGATGGCGCTGAGATACCATAAGTTGGCAGATCAGCGCAAAGGCGAGAGTTGATTGTGATATGTTCCTCATTGGGGCCGTTTTGAGTGCGTTTCAGTCTTTTGGACATAACTTTGGCTACGGGTGTTGGAATCGCGCATAAGACCCCAATTCGGAAAGCCCCTTTCGACGCGCACGCTGTCCACATCGAGCATGGCTCCATGTGGCCTTTTTTCGACCACAAATTCTGCCGTTTTCCCCTCCGAATCACTAGTTTTATTTATTTTTACTATTTATGGTAATATTTCACTTGTCAGTTAGGAAGTCAATTTAAATCCGATTTGGGCCGGATTTTTTGCAGATTGTTTATTTTATTTCGAATTTCAATTTAGAGTGATTTTCGGGATTTTGCTATTTTTGGTAAAATTCGAATAAACATGATTTTTGGCTATAACAGTCCGGCTTGTGGACTGATTTTGACATTGTTTGATTTTATAATATTTCGTTAAACCCTAGAGACTTGTTTTCTCTGGTTTTGGGTGAATTTTCTCTTGTGAATCATCTGTTGGAACCAGCCTACAGGTTAATCGCTATCCTGTCCGGCGTCACAATGAAATTAGATGTAAATGTCAACAGAAGGAATAAAGAATAAAATGAACCTGAAGTTTACAGGTTAGTCCCTTACGCATCAGAAAAAACATAATTTTACCCCTCCTATTCTCGTATCACAAAGATCTATAAGAATATATCAGTTAAAGTCAAAAACCTCAGCCCGAATCAATTGGACGTCCTTCACCACAAACTTTATGTTCTTCTCTTTCAAGGACGGAACAGACGTCATTGGCTAGAAGTTTAGGCCACCAAAGACCGTTAAATCGATATCCCCATCAGGAAGATAGGTCTTCAAGGGAACAGACCCAAATGGAAATACCTGTAAATGTAATAAATACAAGATATTACACGAGACATATGTCACAACAGATATTATAGAAATAAAATGTATACATTACTGATATTTCTGAAATAAAACGTATACATTTCTCCGACATTAACAGCCAGCTCTACCTTATCTTGTTTCATTTTTTCTGGGACTTCATTTATTATGGGTGTACTACCAGAAATTGACTGCGTAATCTTAGAATTCAATGCGTATTCCCGAATAGTCTCATTTTCAATCATTCTACCATTTATTTTACCAAGTTCAACATTAGCCAGATCAGTAAACATTTGTATGTTTCAAAGAAACAACAGTATGTTATTGGTAACAGGTAGTTTTGTTGGTTGCTTGATTTAATAAATATCTTGTATCAGAATTTAGAAATTCTATGGCTCCAAACTTGAGTATTCTCTTATTTATTACCCATGTTTAACATTTAGGTAGTATACTGTCACCCATTATCCATATGGTCACAACTGAAATAAAATAGGTTCATTTCAGCTGCAAACATTAAATGAAAATTTTTGAAACTGATTTTAACAGTCACTGGTAATTGTTTTTGAAGTGCATTGCTAACTTGAAGTTTAAAACATCCATTGACCACCTGAGGTAAATGAACCGAGTTTGATCGATCACAGATGTCGAATACACAAAGCACCCCACGAATAGTGCCAAACTCATATATAACAACCAACAGACGAGACATTAACTACACATGGCATTCATAAAAGTATAATATTAATATGACAGAAGCCTCATCCATGTGATAGAGAGAGTATGCATTTCCACTGAGGTCTATTTCTACAACAACTACCAGTCGTTATCGAAAGTTTTCACTTGGGAATGAAAGAGGTTTAACCATAACAAACACCACAGCTTCTAAATTCTAAAGTAATGATACCAACGAAGCTTCAGTTTGCCAGAAACCACATTACCTTTAAACTGAACTAAGCGTTCTTGAAGGAAGAAAATCAACATCAAACAACAATCATTCTCAGTCATAATTTTATCAACAAATCCTAATCCTTTTTTCTCTTAGGTAGCTCAAAACTACACAATAATTAAGTTTAAGCTATACTCCATTCTAAAAATCGTGTACCGATAAATATATCAAACACGGTATTAATATCCAGTCTCCACCTAGATTACTAACTTTGCGAAGTTAACATTCTATGACAGAAATAATAATAATAATGATATTAGCATAATGTTAAGCTATTTAACAGCTTAATTAATGTTCAAATAACCACTTAAGAAGACAAAGATGGAACGATGCAACCGAGCTCCATGGAAGCGGCAAGTGGAGGTGTATTTCGGGATGAGAATGGTAAGTGGATCGTTGGATATAGCAGGAGAATCAGCAAATGCACTGCCCTCCAAAACGAATTATGGGTTGTTGCAGATGGTCTTGAACTTGCTTGGCAACATAGCTTCCGACATATTGTGATCAACACCGATAATATTCAAGTGGTCCGCAATCTCAACTCTCTTCCCCAGTCGTTTGAGCCTACGCTTCTTAGGAGAATCCATGCTTTTCTCAACCGGTCCTGGAGCGTTAGAATCAGTCACACTCCGAGGGAAGTTAATCGGCTTGCTGACTGCCTTGCTCGCATGCGATATTGCCGAAGCATGGAGATTTCCACGCTCACTCAACACCCTCAGGAAGCTCATCACGTTTTTAATTCAAACATGGATAATATGCTAGATAGATCTACCCACTAATTTGTTGGCTATCTTTGTTACCAAAAAAAAAAGACATAATAGACATTTACGAGCTCATTGTAGACTTGTTCGGAGAAATGCCGCTGCAATTTGCCCGACGAACGGAATATACAACGAGCTTAACTCAATTCCATGCCACCTCTGTTCCAAGGAACTCATCAAATGCATTGTACCCGTCTTCATTGCTCCTTTACCCATAATCTCTCTGAACTGCATACAGATTCACATACACAGATTTTGATGAA